AGAACAACAACAACAAAAAAATCCTTAATTTATAAGTGCTTCTGCAGCAGAGCATCCACTGTCGAGGAGATGCCCAGGCGCCGAGGCACCGCTGTGGGCAGGATTACGTTGGGTGCAGTGGATGACAGGCAACCGGAGGGTGGGCGTGCAGTGCCCACAATAAACCTGAATTTTGGCCTTTGCATAGGAAACTCTGGGTCTCGGGACACACCAGCCACTCGGTTTGTAGGCAAGGGAACCCAAATTCCCCAGCGGGGAGGTAAAGGAGGAGGATGGAGGTTCAGCCAGTGCTGTGGCACCCTTGGAAATGCTGCTGCCCCATGGCTCGGGTGGGGGAACACGAGGGCTGCTGAGCCAGAGCCAGCGCCGTGCAGGGGTGTCCTGTGCTTTCACATGCCCCTTCCTCTGAAATCATCTCCCTGCACGGCCCTGCGGTGAGATGCTTTGCCTTGCAAGGGACCACGAACAGTTATGGGGCTGCTCCATCACCACTCCCTTTCTTTTCCTGCAGATGCTTCTGCACAGAGATGCTTTGCCTTGCAAGGGACCATGAACAGTTATGGGGCTGCTCCATCACCACTCCCTTTCTTTTCCTGCAGATGCTTCTGCACAGAAGCTTGTAATTTCATTTTTTTTCCATTTAATTGTGTTTTTCTCACCAAACACAGCACAGGAGCCTGTGGGAAGGTGCATTGATCACCCATGCTCCTGGGCCAAGAGTTCCCCCACTTCACACATGGGGGTGCCTGCTCCACAGCTTTATTTTTAATCCTTTAAAAACTTGGCCGCTAAAATACAGCGAGGTGTTTTTTTAGTCCCCGGTTTACGCGTTCAGCTACCAGTGTGCGAAGCCGGGGGTTGGCTGATGGCAGGCCTGGTTTGGGGAGGGGTTGCTCACCCTAGCCCACGTCCCCTCGCTTGGCCGCTTCTACCTCTGGCTAACTCCCCCAGCAGTGCAAAGCAACGCCTTCAGTCTGCATGGTCTCGGTAAATAAATCGGCACTAAATGGTGCTGCAAAGGTTTGGGGCTTCCTGGCAAGCCCCCAGAGCTGGTCACCATCACCCCGGAGGCTGTAGATCGGCTGCTTCCCACAGACCCTCGGCAAGCCGGGGGCACGACTGAGTTTCTGGAGGGGTTTTGGGGAAGGCAGCAGCACCCCCGCACAGGTAGAGGTGCAGCAGTTCACAGTGTTTTATGTCCCTGCTCTGAATTCTGGACCGTTTCCTTGCGTGGGGAGGGTGGGAGGTTGATCAGGGTATCCTCCAAGACACCTGTCTGCTACAGCGGAAGCCCTGAAGCAGCAAGGCGTTTGCTGGTGTGAGGAGGGCAACCGAGAAGCAGCCGCTGTTCCCTGTTAACCGGTGTCGGCGGCGCAGGCTGGGAAACAGGCTCTGCTGTTTGCCCCGGCCGCTAAACGAAGCATGCTGGGGAACATCAAAGCTCGGGGCGTTTGCATGATTGCTTCCCACAACAGATGTGTCATCTCTTGATTTTAATCAAGCGAGCGTAATAAATGTGGCCAGCACTGTAACAGCTACCTGAAAAGGACAGGAGAAAAGAGGAAACCTCCTCGAGCTCTGCTTCCCAAAAGGAAATGGTAACCATTATGCATTTTCCTTTTCCTTCCTAGCCTTTTTTAGCCTCTGCAGTGTCCATCCTTTCACCTCCCCTTTTATATTAGTGTTAGTTGGGTGGCTGAAGCTCGGCTCAACAGCGAGACTTCAGCGTGGGATTTGCTGGCACTAAGCCTACCCACTAAACTGTGGATGCTGAGCTGTTCCTCACCCTCTTTTAGTTCAAATGGGGTAGAAACGGAGAATAAAGCAGCGAATGGTCACTGCACCTTCAAACCACAGCCAGCCCAGGAAACTCTTGGGGCTGGGAGCGTATACGGGACAAGATTTATGGTAGGACTGCTCTGTATCCCACTCACCCTCTTCCCCAGTCAGCATCCTGCCATTCCCATCAGGTTCCGGAGAGGTGGGTTGTGTTTAGGGAGGCAGGGGAAGAGAGGGGGGATGCGATGCTGAGCAGGAAGCACTGTTCGCAGCGCTGGCTCCAAGGATGCTCGGGATGAGCAAAACTCCCTCGTGCCTGTTTGGCAGCAAAGCAGCAGTGAATTAGGCCACCTTGGCTAAGAAAAACCACAAACTAAGTAAAAAAAAACAACCCTCCCACCCTTTTGCTCTTGAAATATGTTGGACAGCACAGTCTGGTACTCGCCCTCCCCAAAATCTTGCAGAAAAGGCTCTCCCTTACCCCTGCCAGCAAGAAGTCACCCAGAATAGAGTCTGCTACAAAACCATGCTGGAGCTACAGCTCAGTATTGTCCAGCAATAGCAAAAAGCAGTCATTAAAAAAAAACACCAACACCCCAAACTATTAAAAAAATCACTCACTTTGTTCAAACACTGCTGCTAAAGTAAGTGAGGGAATAAAGGGAGAGGAAAAGCCGTCACCTTCACTTAAAAAAATGTAATCCCCAGGGGAATAAATTCCTTTGTCATGAAGGAGAACAGAAATTGGATGTCGTCTTCTGCAGGACACTGTGAGTTTCTAGGAGGAAGGCTTGGCCAAGAAATTAAACGAGACCTCATCAGTGTGGGCTAATTTCACATGCAGACTGACACTTCATCGCTGCATCAGCAGTGAAAACCAGAGACGCTGTCTTGTCCCCAGCGCCACCAGCTGTGGGTCTGTCAGGCTGGCATGTGGAGGCTGCTTTCCGGCTCAACCATACGCTTGGATGCTTGAAATGAATGAGTCTCTCTTGCCTACAACACAGGGCAGAGGCTGTGCGTATTTTGGGGGATATCCTGGGGTGAATAGAGATTCCTCACTTCCTGCAGGAGCCTGAGACCAGGAACCATCCCCAGCGCCTTTTCTTTGCTCCTCAGCGTGGGAGAAGCAGTGAGGGAAAGCCTCTGCCCCACAGCACTCGCCTAACAGGTAAGGTAAAAGAAGAAAGGATGGACATCCCACCTCCCGACACAGCTCAATCCTCCCAGCCCATCACCTGAGCCTCAGGCCTGGGGAAGGGTGCTTCATCAGGGCACCTCTCCTGCCCTCTCCCCGCAGCCGGCCGGGAGCCTTTATCAAGACATTTACACCGTGCCTGAGCTTTAGCCTTATTTACTCCCGGTGAGAACGGGCTTCTTGGAAAACTTGTATTTTGTAATGGTGGGTGGAGAGAAAGGCGTGAGGCCATTACCCGCCGACTCCAAGCAGCAAAGCATAAATAAATACATCACATTCATCCCCATAGTTTGGAAACAGAGCTGGAAACAGCAGGCTAGGGTACGTGCTGCTGTACCACCACCTGCAACTCGGAGCATCCTCCTTAAAATGGAAGGGGTAAGCGAAGCTCAGCCAGGCTCCCAGCTCGGGGCCAAAAACAGCTGGGGAAGGGCTTGCCAGGCTGGGTACCACAGGATGCGCCCCGTAAAGCTCCAAGGCATCGCTGAGTGAAACCCGGCATTGGCCTCAGATAAAAGCTAGGGGGGTGAAGGGGGGGGACCGTGAGCGAGAGGCAGAGATGCTCTGACTCTGCTGCTGTGAGTATGGCGCAAGTCAGCCCTCCGCACCGCTACAGGGATGTTAAATACGTCGCTTCGCAAAGAATGAAGAGATGGGTGTTATTTCAGCTGATCCCGTGCAAAGGCCAGAGCTCTCTCCAAGCCCAGACTTTATATCTCATTTATTCATAACGCATCCACCCCGCAACATGGATGATGTGTTTATGTCTACAGCACTGGGTGCCAGCAAGGGCCAAGGCATGAGACAACCTAAAAAAATAACAGATGCACTTGCCAAGTGGAAAAAGCACTTTATTACAGGGGATGATGACCCTGAAGGTTCAGCCTGGGGCAGGAATGATGCCTGTGTTCAAGGCGATGGCTGCAAACACCCTTCTCATCTTCCCAGCTCAGACCCTCCAGCTTATCCAGGGTTTTCACAGAATCACGTTTTATTTACAAAAATAGCAAGCACCCATTTTTTCCTAGAGGCTTCCCACCTCCCCCTCTTTGGCTCAGTTTCATCTCAGAGATATTTTATTTATATAGAAAAAATAGTTCACATAGCTCAGTGCAGAACATCCCATTCCCCGGCCTTTCGGGCAGCAGCAGAGCCTGGCAGCAGCACTGCAGATGACGTGCGTGATCCCTCTCCGGGTCCCCTGCCTTGCCCTCCCCAGAGAGCCGGCAGGCCACTTTCATCACCATTTCCAGGGTCCGTCTGGCCTCACTAATAGCGCTTCTGTTTTGCCTGTTTGTAAATATGCTAATGGCTCATCAACATGTTTCCAAGTGCCATCTTCCCAGACTCTCGGTGGCAAGCAGCAGGCAGCTCAGGAAGTCCTCTCCTTCAGCTCTCATGGCTCACAACTACGCCCAGTAAAACCACTTGGCCTTCAGCCCATCCAGCTTGTCCTCCTAGATACCATAGAAAGATTTGTGCATTTTTATTTTTAGCCCTTTATTTTATTTATCAGCCAAGAGCAACCTCAGGCACTCAACAAGCTAAGACCCAGATGGGCAGGTCTTCTGCTCCCCATTGCCGCAGCACACCCAGGGGCAGGGTGAAGGTCTGAGCTTTGGCAAGCAAACAGCAGCTCTGCCTGGGTCAAGGGACACAACCAAGAGCCATCAGCCTCTGGTGGGACTTCACCCTCGAGTGAGCACACTCCCAAGGGCATGCTGAAGCCCACTCACCATCCTGCCACCTCCACCCCTCCCAGAAGCCACTGCCACTTGCCAGCAGCTCCAGGTGTTTGATTTCTTACTCTATTTTGCCAACAAAGATACTTGCAAGCACAACCAGAAAAAAAAAAGTGTTGAAGGCCTAAGCATTTCTCACAAGTCTTCAGATAATCGATTATTTTGCAATTATTTGACAGGTTTAGAAAGGGT